CACAGGCCCATTGAATTTCAGTCAGTCATGACCAAATGTCCTCCCTTGCAAATTTTCCTAAAATTTGAAGCAACAATGTAATGGGAAAACGGAGGTAAAGTAGATCAGGTTTTTTCCTTATAGGACTCAACTAGCCAATACTATGAAATGCCATCCATCAAATAAGGACATGTTCAATTTACATCTTCAGCCAATCCATGACAGGCCAGTGTATGGTTTGAATAGAAAAATGTTTCTTCTCCATGTTTGTGAGAGATGGTCACAATATTAACTTCCATGTGCGCATGTGTGGAGATTTCGAGAAGATTCCAAAGCTGATTAATTAGTCTTTGGCAGGAGAAGAGCACAGGGATGCTACTCTGTCCCATAGCATGAAATGATATCTAGCCATGGTAGCTTGGAATTCACCATCTTTGAGAGAGTGGCAGAGGAAAAGAAACAGTGACCAATAACATCAAGGCATCTACCTTCTTTGTCAGATGGACTGGCATACTCCCTCCTAGAATGACTCTGAGATAATTGTTAGGTTGAGGGCATTGAAAGAGAAATTCAGCATCTTTCTCTTGAACCCAATACATATTTTCGAGTCTACAAGGTGGAAGGGCTACCGATGCTGGGGACTTCCATTTGTGGCACACTGCATCAAGTAAGGTAGGTAGCAGTGGGATGGTGACTGGACTAGTGAACTTTGCGTAGACTGCTTCGAAAACTGGATCTTTTGCACTAGTAGGTTCCTGGGGTTAAGCCTGAGACTGTGAGCCATGAGGAGTACTTGGGCTGAGAAGAGGCCTGAGTCCTCCAGCACACATGGAAAATCTATCATTGGTACTGATACATCGCGTATATGGTATATATTGGCATTGGTCCAAGAGGATATGGATGAGATTGATGAATATTGTCCACATTCTGAATGATGTTTGGCTAGGTCTGATCGGTGTCTAGGCAAGCTGGAGAGTGCTTGTCTTTCACAGGGAAGAGCCATCTGTTTAGCATCTGCTAGGGATCCAGAGAGTAGAACAATGAAGCTGGGGCCAGGCTGGGAAAAATATCAGTGAGATCTGGATGAATTCCAATGGGAACATCTGTGTCTGGAGTTGACAGAGCCCCATCACTCTGTATAATAATTGGCATCCAAGTCCCATTGGTGTCAAGGGGGAGTTCAGCATTTTTGTATCCTGAAGCAGGTGGAGATAGAGAGTGGGAGCAAGGTCCGGATTGTTCTGTTTGGAGGAAAACATTCCTTCTGTTTGGAGGAATCAAAGGTACAGGTAAAGCATGTCTCTGTATGAAGGCATGATCTGGTCTTAGTAAGATTGCTGGGGATGGATTGTGAATTTCCCCTTCCGAGACCAAGGTACTTTTCAGAGGCTGAGAGAGAGGCTCCTGTGTCTGTTTCAGTGTTGGAGCAGAAGGATGGCTCAGCTCTTTGGATGGCACAGTGTCTACTGTACATGGGAGGCCAGTAACAGGTGGAATATCCGAGCGCTTTTGAGCACGTTTATGGCTCTCCTTCTCTTTAGTAAGGGTAAGCAATTTTGGAGCTTTGGTCTTCTTGTCTGATTTTTTCTGTTTCCTCAGTTTTGGTGCTTTTGCTGGTGACAGGTTTAAGGCTTTGTCTCTGTTAGCAGGAATTGGTGCCCTGGAGGTGGATGGTTGGGCATCTTCTGCATGAAGGGCACGGTTCTGCCGTTTGGCTTTCAGCCAGTCTGCTCGATGTTTCCTTGCCTGTTTAGTGAAAGCCTGGCAATGGCAGGAGGAGTCGATGACATGAGAGTCTTCCAAACAAAAGAGGGAGAGGGAGTGGCTATCTGTAGGAGGGAGTTTACTGCCACATGCCGTACAATTGCAGAACGGGGCTTTGAGCACTATCTTGTCTATTCAATGAGGTGAAGGGAACAGTCTTTTTCTTTCTTTCTTTTTTGTAAACAGAAGGTAACATAAAAAAGGGACCCGCTAAGAACAGAAAACTGAGAAATCATTGAAGATGAACAACTTTGTGAGGTAAGTGGAAGAGGAACTTCCCAATGAGCTCACGATGATAGTAGAAGAAGAGTTGAGTTCTCGGTGGTAGCCCTGCCTTTACACTAGCCGCACTGGGGGCTGGGCTCCTGCCGAATACTAATTAATCAACTTTGGAATCTTCCCGAAACAGCTCCATGCATGTGTGCAAAGCCCACATGTGTGATGCACAGAGACCTCAAAGAATAACTGTATTTCCAGCCCACAAATGTTAGGGCTCAATCAAGCCTGAAGCAAATGATTTATCAAGACTGGCCATTTAAAACAGAATGCACCAAACTGCACCAGTAAGAGAGAGGAAGAAAATGCCATGAATATTCTGAAATCTTTGTCAATTTGTGCTTATTATGGGTGAAGCATAGATATCAGTTGCCAATTATTCTTTTGATTTAAGCACATGAAAATAAATTAAAACAAATATTTAAAAAGCAGGAAGATAAACAATTTTTCCACAAATACCACTAAGAACTTTCAACTACTATTTCTGTAAATTTCTTTTCTTGTCTCATATCTATATTTACCTGTAATTTTGCTGATCTAATTTTATCATAGTGCTGTTAACAGGATTGAAGAAACAACTTTTCTATTTTTTCATTGTTAAGCAAAACAAATTGCTCAATGATTTATTTTCTTGAATGTTTTATTCATATATTGAATCATGTCTACACAACATTCAGCAAATATGATATCCATGTTGAAGCCTTCTTACCAAGTTATCTCTACTTGATATGTTACTGTCACACAAAAAGCAGCATTATATTAAAATACAAGAGAGCCCAGGGGTTAATGATTTCAGGAACCCACCCTTGCTGGATTTGCACAACACTGCAAGCTGCATAGGAAAGTATAATTATGCAAATCCCACTAGCACATGAACTGGGGAAAATATTTCCTGTGGCCTTCCCCTGCCCATGATTTTGCAAATCTTGTCACTGCAATCAAACAGCCATCATAAGTGTGTGTGTGTGTGTGTGTGAGAGAGAGAGAGAAAGAGAGAGAGAGATAGATGCATGTATCTATGCATTCTTAACATAAATTCTATCTGTAAAGGGCTCAAACATACAACAAAGTGGGAATAATTAAGGTAACCAATTCCATGCTTCTGTGTTGATCTGGCTCATACTTAATTTCATATTTGTTGCCAATACAAATTAGGACTTCAGACTTACAATGTGGAAATGTATGAAAACTGATTGTGCCAGGGCAGATCTATTTGGGGTTAGGCTAACATGCTTACAATTTTACAGAATGGGGCTATACCTGCTGACTCCACCTGTCATGTTGTGAAGGTCAGAAGAAAGCCAGGGACATTTTTGAAGGAATGACCAATGAGATTGTGTTGGGTTTAGAAGTGACAAGAAGCTGATATGAACTATTATGTTGCTTTATGTACAGACATAAAATAGTTTAGTGGGGAGGGAGAAGAACTAAGACAAACAGAATTTTGGAGTTTTTTAATACTCAGTTTATGATAAGCAAGTTTCCCCTGGTTCACTCCATAACCAGCTTAGACTTTCTCAGTTGTCTTCAAAGACCCGAAGAGAGCTAAAGAAGGTCCCAAAGACCAAGGGAGTTCAACAGTACCCTACTGCTGTCATCAAGCCCAAGTCTGCCATTTCAACTCATTTTTCCAGTAAGATACATGCTTCCAAAACAGTGACCTCTCAGAAAGTAAGATACCTTTTGTGACCCTGGACCAAATATCAAAGCTGTTCAGGATTATCTATGGTCTTCAATAAAGTGTTATCTAGATTTTAGAATATGGCAACTTCATGCCCCAAGAAATGAGTTCAGCATCTTTCACCTTATATAATATTAAGTCTCTCACTAGTTTTCCTGTTAATAAGATTCCTTTAGCCAGCAGACAGATTGTGAATACAGGCAGTTTCATCTACTAAAAGAAAACATAAATCATCATTGAGAAAGGAGAGGCTGCAGTAAGGTTATCACCGTACAGGCTTCTCCATGAAAGGTTTGCATTAAAGCATTAGTGAAATTAATTCATCTTTCACAAGAGCTTTGAGCAGTATCGGTGATCTATGATAACAACCAATTTCTCACTATGGAAGGGGAAAAAATTACTCAGCCCTTAAAGACTACACAAATCTGCTTTTTAAAAATGACCTAACATTATCTGGAGTGTTGCTCCCAAAGGCATTGTTTGAGATTCATGCACAGCCAAGAGAACCCATAAATCAGTTCAGAAAGTTTTGTTACTTTTATATGCAGTGGGCTGTAATTATTTTGAATTGCATTATGCCTCAATCATTGTAATTACTTTTAGATCATCCTTAAGCGGCAGTAATAAAAAGAAAAGGAATCAGTCTTAAACCAAGGGTAACATGCACCCTATCAAAAGAACATAACTGTTACATTAGAAGATGGTGTAAACACATAAGCAATGTAAAGATGATGCACATTTTGCTGAGTAAGCATATTAATAGTCACTGCTTGCACAGCTACTCACCACAGCTCATTAAGACTCTTAATAAGCACACATGGACTCACTTCTGTGTGCACACATGTATAATTAAATGTTTTTGATTCAGAGGGTAAACAATGCTGATTGGGTTGGTACAAGATTTGAGAATGCAACACTATACTTGTGTTATGCTGCTTGAAGGTCAACAGGACCTGGGGGAAGACCACTAGGACAAATATGCTGGTGGAACACATCTGATGCAATTTTATAACAACCTACCCTTGACTTCCCTCCTCTTGATTTCAGTTGGAGATAAAAAATAAAAAAGGGAAGGTTCTGCAACAAAGCTGATCTGTTTATATCACCACAACTTCCTGGTGGTGTTTTTTTTATGATTGGACACTGAGAAGTAACAACCAGTGAATAAGCCACTAGTAGCAAGAAGGCTCTTACCTTTATAACTGGTAGGCCTATGGAGTCACTGTAGCCATGTTACTAGTGCAAAAGAGATCACAATTAAGCCCTTAACCCTTTGGAATGCCCATTTGTTTATACTTACCTCTGGGAAATAATCCTGTGGAAACTTCTCTTTTTCCAGCATAGGCGTACTTTCTAATGTGTCTGAGTAGATTTCTTTCCCCATAACCTTTTTATATTTCTTAGCTAGGAAGAAATAAGGAACATTTATAATACCTCTATTAACATAACCAGGCTTTATATACACAATGATGAATGGAGGAATGGACTGGATTACTGCCCTGCTGAAGCTAAGGAGGTCTAGGTTTGGTCACTGAAGAGAATGGAGACTAGGAATCCCGTTTATACACAGGGAAGAAAGAAAATATAGAAATGTAGTTAAGAGTGAAATTAAACACTGTGTGAGCAGAGGACAAGTACATAAAATGGAATTCTCCCTACCTTTCTTCCCTTTGCATCAAAAGTCTCTCCAGAGGCAGCAGTGGTATAGAAATACTGAACATTGTTTACTGTGTTTAGTGGGGCCCCAGTGGAAACTGGGGGCTGCCAAAACTCAGGCAGAGGAATATAAACCACTTAGAGAGTCCTTTTAGTGCAGACCATTAGTGCACTATAGAAATTTGTCAATCAATCAATCAATCAACACTGCACCATTGAGGCAAATTTCTTGATTTTGGTCTCCCCTCCCACAGTAGCCCAATAAAAGACTTCTCACAGGTAGATCCCCCTGACAAGGTTTTTTGGGGTATACAGGGAAATGTTAGATTTCATGCTAAATAGATCAGAGCAGGGTGAAGACTGACTTTGGTGGTGGAAGCAAAATCCAGATTAATATCACAATTCCCTTGATTAAGAATAACCTCTATTATAGTTCAGGGATCATTGAGTTGTTACATATGGAAAAATTAGTGGACAGAAAGTTACTCTCTCATTAAAAAGTTCACATGTGACTACTGCAATTTACATTGTTCACATAGGGGAATAAAATATGCTGTGATGAGTCTTTGACATTATGTCTAAGATTTTACTTGGACATCAAGAAGATGATGACTAGATTGATTTATGGTACTTAAACCTTGAAATACAGTACTCACAGAACTGCTGCTCAAATCTGTTATTGAAGACAGACCCCCCCCCCAATCCCGCCTTCAATTACAAGAAAGGGGGCAATCTATCTTAGGTAAGAACAAGAATAATGAAACTGAACAGTTGAGACAATTAATTCACGTACCATTTCAATGATGTTTCAAATAAATGTGGTGAAAAGATGTAAAACGAATGTGACCTGTCTCAATAAGCTAAGTGAAGTTTATGAGAATTTTATAATGAAATTATAAGAGACATTTCTCAAATTCCAAAATGAGGCATCTTTATAATTATCAACACAGTTTCGTACACTGGAAAAAGTATGCATTAAATCTTCAAACATAAACACATTAAGCACATTGTTAACCATCTTGAGTGTTATTTTTGTGGAATGGTGACATAAAATTTCAATCAATACATAATTAAATCATAATTCTATTAACATTAGCTTTTCATGACTGAAACCAGTTGGTGTAGTGGTTAGAGTACTTAACTGTGATAAGGTCTAGGAAGACCTAGGCTCAAATGCTGACTCAGCCCTGGGTAGGTGGCTTCAGGCAAACTCTTGCTAAGATCATCTGCTTTCCAGTATTTTTGACTGCATATAAGTAATTAAATATGGAATCTTCTTCATGTGCCATTCCTCAAATATGCTATGTGTTCGGCTTCTCCTTATCACCTTTGCAGTGTTGCTGTGAGAGAAGAGGGAAGCTAGTGCTGGAGCACAACTGGATGCTACCCATTGCTGTCAGAGAGTCAAAGAATATTGTCCTGGTTGGTATGACAAGACAGCCCAGTGTAGCTTAATTTTCCTGTGGGGGTTGTACTGGTGTCCACAGGTGCCATTTCTGCATGTCATCTAGCTTTCTGTGTTGTGCAAACCCAAGCAGTAGGGAAAGTTTGAGGATTAACCCACCCCCAAATAACACATGGTTTGTTTTATGTAAATGTGAGGATTGTCTAAGTCCACAGCTTCTGTTGCCAAGGTTTGCACAATATGACAAGGCACGGCACGCTTGGCATGTAGCACAACACAGTAACTATCACAAGTATATTAAACCACAGTTGACTGTTGTCATATGTAAACAAGCCTTGTGTCTCTTCATACATTCATTTTGAGGTGTATGTTTAAAACTTCTTAGGCCCCTATACACCTAGAAAGGTAAAGCATGAACAGAACAAGCACACGTGCAAACATAGGTCCCACACAGGTGTTCTCATCACAACATTGGACTAGATGCAGCCTCTTCTCAAGTGAATACTCAGAAGCAAACTCATACTTGATGTGGGAAAGTACTCCTGAAAAAGCAAGCCAGGCTGCTTTTTGTAATGAGCAGAGTCAACCAATGCAACACTTTTATTTATTTATATATTTTACTATACTGCCCAAGAGATGAAGCTCTCTAGGTAGCTTATAACATCACATCAATATAAAACAATATAAATACAATGTGATACAATATAAAATACCCCATATTAAAACATAATAAAAAGTTTATGCTGAAATCCTATATGCTGAAAAGTAGCATTGTAATTCCCAGGACAGTGTATATAGGATTAGGATTACTGGTCTTACCTTTAAAGTCAAACTGGTAAATGTTTTTCAAGGATTCATGCAGAAAGTAAAAACTTCCCAGCGCCTATGTCAAAAGAAAAGAAAGTTCAGCAAAGTATATATAGAGACCATTTTTAAAAACTTTGAACTTGAACTGTTTGTCATTAGAAAACAGATGCTGCTTTTAAAAGCCCTGAATTCAAATAACCCTTTAATGTTTCTATACATTGTTATCCTTAAGGAGTAGCTCATTAGAAGCTTGAAGGGAATTCCTCAGAACTGTTGAACAAGAAAATACTTAACACTACGTAGAACTAATCTAGCTGGTCAGTGGCCACTCTCCACAGATTTACCAAAGCTATGCAGATTAAGAGGAGAGTTTTTCATTTAACCAGAGAAATAATGTTGACTACATGAAAGCTATACCTGCTTGAACTCATATTGGAGTTTGCCAAGTCCACTGAAGACCAACCTTTCACACTGTCCAGGTCTGCCAATTATTTTAGCTAGAATTAGGCAGCATTTGGTAGTATAGCTGCTTTGAGTCAGGCTCTTATACCACTAATTTTTTTTTAGCATTCCCTTAAATTCAGCTCTAAAACCTGAATTCTATAATTTCAGAATAGATGAGTTTAAGAATAGGCACTTTCTCATGGAAGTGCAATTAAATTAAATGCATCTTTGCAAAAAGCCCATCAAGAGCTCCACTATTTAAGAATTCTCTCTGTGATTCCTAATGAGTTAAAGGGCGGTGTATCCCTGGAATATAACCAGGAGGCAGCATCTGCTTTTTTATTAATTGCTAATGACAATATATTGGATTATTAAATACCAGGTGCCAGCTGTTTTATCTTGCAGAATATACTTTTCCCCTTTTTTAAAGTCTTCCGATCTGATTTGCCTCTTTCATGGATAAATGCATAATAAAAACAACAACAACAACAACACCTAAAAAAAAACCTAGAGCAAGCTGCCTGGGTCAGAAAAAAGTGTACTCATCAATTAAAATTGTCTGACAGTATTTTCCATTGGATGAACTAATATGTCAAGGAGATGAACAGGACCTCATGTTTGTGCTTTTGACAAATCAGCAAATGTTCACTCTCTAAACGTGCAGCTTCTCATACATAATGCAGCAATCAGTGAGCCAAAACTCAGCTCTGCCAGAAGTGTGTTCCTGTCTTCTCACTTCTGAGGGTTGCTTTCTTTTTTATATATCAAAAAGATAACAAAATGATCCCTTTGGAGTAGTATTGGTCTCTTCCCTGCTTGCTAACAGCCCATGGATTAAGCCAACACTTTTCTTCCTCAGTGAAAAAGAATAAGGGAAGAACCCCAGGTTTTGCATACAGGAGATCTCAGGTTCAGTCTGTGGCATCTCAGGGATATTTCTTTGGCTGTATTTTTTTGTCTGAAGCAAAAGACAAGATACTTCTCCCACTACCCTTTCAGTGTGCTGAAATCAACTAGACCAGTGCTCAAATCTTTCTTCAATGCTGCCAGCATCCTTTATTGCAGCCAAGGACAGAAGGCTGACTAAGAGGCCACAGGGCAGGATGTACACACAGTTCTGTTCTCTGACACCTTGACACTGCTCCCAGCATCTGCTGTGTGAAGGCTTGGACACTGTCTGACCATCGGTGTGCTTCTTGTCTCTTTTCAATTTGCCTTTGCATTTACAATCAAAGTTTGGTACAAGCAGGAGAACAGAACAAAATGAACAACACTCAAACATGAAAGTTGCATTAACATTTCCTATGTGCAAATTTTCCCACAGACTAATGTGCAGCTGATTTAAAAACTGCACATTTTGCAAATGTTGTGCACTCTTCAAAATTTGGGCAGTTTGAGAAAGGAATGCATTTTTCAAGTATACCTTTTGGGAATATGGATACATGTTTGGGAATCTGCAAACACTGCAGGAGAAAATGTTCTTCACATTTAGGATTGTAAACAGGGCATTTTCATTTACAAATTGTAATAAATTCTCATATATCCTTTAAATGAAACTTCTTCAAATCTGATTCCAAGACAATATACAAAACTATAGGTAATGAATTATCTGAAACCCAATATAATACAACCACCACTAACAATAATAACTAGAATAAAATATTAAAATAAAAGGCAAATTGAAGGATTATGCAAATTAAAATAACTGGAGAAATGAAAGTGTCCTAGTGGCATTACAAAAACATAGAAACAGAGTCAGAAGGGGTCTCCCGGGCCATCTAGTCTGACCCCCGGCTTCAGCCAGCTCCACTCATGACATGCCTACCATGAGGCTGCCTAGCCTACGCTTGAACACCCTCACCAATGGAGCTTCCACCACCTCCTGTGGAAGACCATTAAATATCCCATGGGTCCTAACTGTCAGGAAGTACTTCCTGGCATCCACCCTAAATCTTGGTTCCCTGAGCTTTGCTCCATTGGAACACACCCTGCCCTCCACTGCAGAGGAAAAAGGGTCATGTCCCACATCTGCGTCTCACAGACCTGTACGTTGCTAACAGGTCCCCTCTGAGTTTCCTCAGTCTCTCTTCATATGGCTTACCCTGCAAACCAGCCACCATCCTAGCGACCCTTCATTGCACTAAAATAGCCACCAGTCAGGTAAAATGTTAGAATGGGAATCTGAAAACCAAGGACTCACCTCCTCCTTTAGGATTATACAAGAGACTTGCAATAAGGCACTTGCAATATGGCCTCAGAAGTATCCAATTCTGCTGTTCTGCTTATACAATTGATTATTAGGTGCACAATAAATTTTCTGCAGAAACGCATCATGCCAGCTTGCACTACTGGTGTTAGAGTGGTGGTTGTTCATACTAGCACTATGTCAATTGTGAAGACTGTGCTTGTTTCTTGAAGAAACAATGAAGCAGGAAGAATGTTAAGACCTGACAAGACATTCCATTTTGGAACATTACAAAAAGATCTGGTGATTTCTAAGGAAGCATGCAATGCGCTTCTACACATTATGTAGGCAAGAGCAACTGGGGAGGACTCTAGATATTAGGATACTCCCAGTGGTATCAACTAAGCCCAGGTCAGTTGATACAAAATCAGTTTTGTAATCTTGTACCTAAGCTAAACCTATTGTTATCCCTGATGACCCACAAGATTAATTTATACAGGGTCAGGGGAGATTCTGTCTGAAACGAAGCAGGGCTTGCTTTACCTTTATTTATTTGATTTCTCTACCACACATTAACGAAGACATTTCCCTTGGATAATTAGGATGTTTATCCACTGCTAAAAGTTCAACAATGCATAGATAACAAAACAGAGCTTTGCTCCCTAAGCTCCATAAGAAAGAGAATGTCTTTCTCAGATCAGATAATAATTTCTCCTTGCCATATGTGCAGTGAGCCACTACCTTTCCATTGGCACTCATTGTTTATACAGCATTTATCCTGACTTGCTTTTACAGAGCAGTCTTATGTATGGGCAAGTCAAAACACGGTGTTCAGTGGGGCAAACTCTATAATTATGTACAGGTTTACAGTCTGAATTAATGCTTGTACCTGCTGCAGCAACAGCTACAATACTAGGTGGTGCAACATGTTGGGATTATTTATACCTCACAGTTGCACATGCATACAACCACTGTGGTTCTCTTTTTCATGAGTGCCAGCTTGACCTTTCACCTCTTTTTCAGGGTTTTTCTGACATTAAAGCTAAGCACATTTATTCAAGATAACTACCCTGAACCTCTAAGTGTGCATGACAGATATTGGATTTTAACTTCTATTCTGCCAAATTGGCTTTGTTTTTTTTAAGCTTTCACATTTCCCCCCAATATATAGTTGAAACAATCCGGTAGTTATCCAGAAGCTTGGATGCTAGTACAGAGCCCCACTATCTGCCAAATCATATCAATGGAGGAGGCATATGTACTTAGTGTGCATGGATTTACTTGCACTAGAGAAATAACAGGGCAGCCCATGTTGAAAACAGCTCCTTCTACACAAGGAAGTGTGTACGAAGGTACATGCAATGGAACTAGTGCTTTTCAGTAAGCGTTTTGATACCTTCAATTACTATCAAAGTATGACATTGTTAGTTTAATAAAAATAAAAATTCCAATAAAGTACATATAGCACTATGCCTATTTAAGTGTTAATTAGATTCTGAGATATCAATCACTTCATTTGTGCAAATCTAACTACTACAGGGAAGTACTTAAAATAAAATGTTTTAATAATTACTGCCCAGAGTAAACATTCACTGCATTACCACATTGTATGTGCTAAAACTGATACAGCAAGTATAAAGAGTGCTTTAAATAAATGTAAAATAAATGGCCAATGATGACTCAGAAAGTGTAATTCATGCAGTCATAAAATCCATAATTAGCTCTAATGAATATTTAAAGTCAAAGTTCAACCTAACTTTTTTAGTGTTTAACCTACTATATCAATATAGCTCAAGAAATGCATTTGTCACTTAAAATGACAGCTTCTGAATATTAATTAGCATAGGTCACTGCTGACAGGAAGTCCTTATCTTGCCATTCCTTTTGACTATAGCACATGTCACCAGTATGTTTGTCACGTCTGATATTATTGATTACCTGCCTGTTTGGCCAAAAACAATTAAAAGAACTCCCCCCTTTTTTTACATATTTATAAACCTGTCAGGAGCATTTATTTTTCCATTAGAAAAAAAGTAGTCAATTAGCTGCCATATTTCAGGTTGAAGAGCAGCAGTAAATGAGGAGCTGCAATAACTCTAGACAGCATGACAACATTTTTACATAAAAGCACACTTTTATTGGCTAGAGTTTGTTTAGGTTTTTTTTTTTTTTAAAGAATGCTTCACTGGGTTCTTTTGTAGCATAATGTGAATGGACCATCATTATTTGCGTAATCCATTTTAAAAACTAATTTGGAGGCCTGGTTTCTTCTGTTCCTTAACTGCTTCATTTATATGCAAATGGAATACATTTAGTTTTCACTTATAATTAAAAGTGTATGAAGATGAAGCTTGAGTTGCACCTGTTCAATAGCCATCATACCCCTCCAGTTGCACCAGTTCAATAAGCATCATGCTCATAAAGCAGTGGCAGGAACTTCTGAACAA